CCAACTGTTCATCTATCCATCCATCTGCATTAAGCCATCCGTCAACACGCACACACACACATACACACACACACGCACGCACGCACGCACACACACACACACACGAGCTCAGATGTACAAGTCCTGTAGCCTCCGAGGGGTCATAGGTTAACCCCTGACCCTGACCTCAGCGCCTGCCACCAGGGGGAGCCAATCACCGTCTGACCGCTGCCTTGCCAGATTTCCAGACGGAGCCGTGTAGGACGACAGCATCCACGGAGACAGACAGATGTTTGGTCGACGTGATCTCGGTGAAGCTTTTGCCTCCTGAGTTGTATCTGTGTGTGTGGGGGGGGAGAGAGACTTAATGTGAGGCATGAATATTCATTGACATGTCCACATATCTAGACATTTACTACAAACCTGCCCCATGTAACACAAAATAAACCAATAAAGAACAAAAAAACCCTGATCAGACAGGAAGGGGAGGGGCAGACAGGAAGGAGTGGGGTACCCTGATCGTCAAAGTCTGCCCCAGACCTGGCAGCTGAAGATGAGTTTAACTTCCATTTCCAAAAGGACCGAGCCAAGTGGGAAACTTGTGTAAAGCTGAGGCTCGAACCCCCAAACTAGCAATCTCACAATTACAAGTCCGGTAGCCTAACCAGTAGGCCCAGCGTCACGACACCCCTCTCGTCATGTGTTATAGAGGAGGTGATAGGAGCAAAGAACATACTTGTAGAAGAGCAAAGAACGTACTTGTAGAAGAGCAAAGAACGTACTTGTAGAAGAGCAAAGAACGTACTTGTAGAAGAGCAAAGAACGTACTTGTAGAAGAGCAAAGAACGTACTTGTAGAAGAGCAAAGAACGTACTTGTAGAAGAGCAAAGAACGTACTTGTAGAAAAGCAAAGAACGTACTTGTAGAAGAGCAAAGAACGTACTTGTAGAAGAGCAAAGAACGTACTTGTAGAAGAACAAAGAACGTACTTGTAGAAGAACAAAGAACGTACTTGTAGTTCTAGTAAGAGTTTTAGGGACAAGAGGACAGAGAGGAGAGAGGTGCACTTTAGTAAGAGTTTTAGGTCACTTTGAGCACAAAGAGGCGAACGTACTTGTAGACTAGTAAAGAAAGTACTTGTAGTTCTAGTAAGAGTTTTAGGTCACTTTGAGCACAAAGAGGCGAACGTACTTGTAGACTAGTAAAGAAAGTACTTGTAGTTCTAGTAAGAGTTTTAGGTCACTTTGAGCACAAAGAGGCGAACGTACTTGTAGAATTTCTCACACATCTTGTTGCTGATGTGCTTGGGCCCCACGCCGTGCACCTTGAAGGCTTCCTCTGTGTCCGGGGAGAAGATGAACAGAGCCCGGTACTGGCAGCCCGCGTCCCGGAACAGGATCAGGAAGTGGTTGGCCTCACACTTGGACATCTCCTGCACACGACACACGACACATCCGTTATATGACACATGACACATCAGTTACACATCACATGACACATCAGTTATATGACACACGTGTCACACAAGACATGACACGCAAGTTACACATGACACAACACACACAAGTCACAAATAACAGACAGCTCCACAGACAGGGCTTGGGAAAACAAGGAGCGCTGAGGGGGTAGAGGTGAAAGGTCATGTTGGGGCACAGAACATTCTTCAGCTACAGTGGCGGAGGGGATCTATCCTCCGACAAAGGAAACAACATTCTACCATGTCTACATTTGGCCTCAGTCTACACGGTTGATCTTATGCAGTTACGAGCGCCGTAAAACTCTTACTAAAACTAAAGTAACCAGTGTTTCTAAGTGGGTGGTTGGCGGGGGCTCTGGTGTGGTTAGCTCCGTTCTCCAACACACACACACACACACACACACACACACACACACACACACACACACACACACACACTCTGTGACAGACCTCGTTTGTTTACACGCTTCCAACATCTTCAAGGGGAAGCAACCACTAAAAAACCACGTGTGTGTGAGCGAGTTGTGTCCCCTGACCCTGGGTGTCCCCAACAACTGGGAGGTGAGTGTGACGACAACACACGTGAGCGATTGTTGTTGTTGTTGTGAGCAGCTAGTTTTAGTTTTTTTGTTGTTGTTTCTTTTTTGGGGTCGTTTTCTTTTCTTTTCCGTCTGTGGTGTCCCCAGTGACTAGCCTGTTTCGGCGACCACTTTCTTCACCAGCTCGGTGGCCTTGCGTAGACGTCCGCCTCGCGCTGGGAGGTCAACCCGTGGCTCCTTCCCTCGAGGGTTCGAGCCGCGGCGGAGCCGAGTCAAACCTAAGACTAGCAGAAAATAGGTACTAGCATTTTTCCTGGCCAGGCGTCGGCTTTTGGGGATTAATGCTAGCCGGTCTGGGACCGGTTTTGCTAAAAGTTTCCAGCCCCGTTTTCGCGCACCCTTCGCGATGCGAACATAGATCGATAAAAAAGAAAAAGTCGAATCAAACGTTCAAGTTCAAACACTTCTTCCTTCACTTCGTACTAACCACACAATGCGGTTTTTGCTTTTTTTTTTTTTTTTTTTTAAATCTATGTACTAAGTTGCCGCTTCCTCTCTTTAAATAAAATTTTAAAAAACCACGAGAACACATAATGTCGCTGCTTCCTCTTTAAAACAAACAACTTATTTTCACCCAAAAAAAGCCCATTATGTTGCTGCTTCCTCTTTTTAAAAAATAATTAATCTTTAAGCAAATAATGATGCTTCCTCTTTAAAATAAACTGCAAGCACACAATGCTGCCGCTTCCTCTTTAAAAAAAATAATTAAAAAGCACATAAACTTTACTGTTCTAAATTTTTTTTTTAATCCCTCTTTAACAAAATTTTAACAAAAACATCTTTAACAAATGTTTTTTAAAGTACATACTGTTGCTGCTTCCTCAAAAATACAAAAAAACAAAATTCTTCTTTAATAAAAAAACAACAAAACAAAACAAAAAAAACAAGCACATGATGTTGCTGCTTCCTCTTTTTTTAAAATAATAAATTAACAAGCACAAAATGTACTTTTTAAAAGTTCCTCTTCAACAAAATAACAAATCAAGCACATAATGTTGCTGCTTCCTTTTTTTTAAAAACATCCTCGTTAACAAAACAAAAACAAAAAAAATATTTCTAAAAAATAACAACGACATAATGTTGCTGCTTCCTCTTTAAATACCAAAAAAACCTAAGCACACAACGTTCTTTAAAAACAAAAAACCCTCCATGGTCCTCTAAAAAAAACACCCAAAAACTCGGCAAGTTGGGAGGGCGGGGGCGGGATCTAGTACAACAAAAAACCCAATCAGGATCTTCGACCAATCACAAGGGTGACCAATCACAAGGGTGACCAATCACAAGGGTGACCAATCACAAGGGTGACTAGCGGGCTCGTAAATTGTCCACGGTTGTCCGTACATTACGTATTCATAGAGGCAAAGGCTATTGTGTGTGTGTGTGTGTGAGAGAGAGAGAGAGAGAGAGAGAGAGAGAGAGAGAGAGAGAGAGAGAGAGAGAGAGAGAGAGAGAGAGAGAGAGAGAGTGTGTGAGTGTGCGTGCGCTCTCTATCAATTATTTTTAAAACCCTGAAGTACCACGTGAGGCACTCCCCCCCCCCCCCCCCAAGTCCCGACAGACGGCCCCACCAGCGTCCACAAACTAGAGTTGACGTCATCAACCTCGGCCTAGCCATCACGGGACGGTCCCCGACACACGCGGAACTCACTCACACACGCAAGTCACGTGATGTGAACGTAACAGTTTTACACACGGGTGATGACGGGCCCGACTGGAAATAAAAGGTGGCCAGAGTCACAATTTTGCAAATCAAATTTCAGAATCCTCACCAGCGTCCAATTCTAGTGGGATTTGATACATAACACGGCTATCAAACGTTTGATGTAGTCATGTTAATCAATTATTCTTTGCGTGAGCCAGCAAGCCAGAGAGATCTAGACTGAATTCAAACAGAGATAGAAACAGTCTGAGCGTTTGTGGAAAATAAAATGTAACTACATGTACTAACTAAAGACTATTGCAAGGGCACTCAAAGAGACCGTGTGTACAGCAATGTAGCTCAACGTGTCCAAAGTTCTCACAAGAATGGTTCTCAGAGCACCATAATATTTTTATTTTTTTTTAAAGGGGGAGGAGCGACCACCATTTTCTATGATTGTTGCCCGGGACCAAATCTATGAACACACAAGTTAGGCATAGGGAAATCTCTCGATTGGGCACTTTTATTTGTGCATAGCTACAGCGGTTGCTATGGAAACCGCCACCATCTTGAAAACAAACAATACATTTGTAATCCCTCAGGCTTTCTTATTTACTGACCAAATTTGATGAGAGTGTACCTGAACCAGTACCTTTCAGTGAGTTTCTTTTTCAATAAATGTAAAGAAAAAAGAAATAAGCGAATTTTCCCAATGTGTAGAAACCTTTTCTATATTTTGGTTCCGTAATCGCTTGCCAATGGGAAAAAGTAGTATTTATTTTTCGCAAATATCTCTCTGTTACATTGAGGGCACCCTTGCCATCTGTTTCCTGGAAGTTGCATGTCCAAAGAAAGGAAAGAATAGGGGGGGGGGGGGGGGGACTGGTTGTTTTTTTTAAATGTTATGACAAAAACGACACAATTGTGAAAATTCACCACATTACCCACCCTCATGTTTTCAAAGGCAACTTGCGACAATTTGTACTGGATGTTTTTGTTCCGTGTGTATCAAAGGTAACGAACGTTGGTGACAACGGGCTCGTTTTTGTTCCAGTCAGGTCAGAACGGTCCAGAAATCGAGCATTTAAACAAAGAAAAAAAGGGGGGGGGGGGGCGGGGGGGGGGGGTTATGGTCTTACTTTCTTAAAAACTGTTACAGTAATCCAAGAGCACATAGACCAGAACATTTTCAGGGACTTTTCGATTCCGCTGTGCGTGCTGTCAACTTCCATTTGCGTTTGTTCCTTTTCAAGATATTTTGTGTACAACAGTTTTGTCCTATCTGGTACAAATGTCGCTGATTGCATGATAACAGCCATCACTGTACGGGTCATTTTTTTTTATGTCCCATTTGTTGAATTTGTGATTCCGGACCTAATTCCTCGGATACCGATATGAAATCTTAGAGTTGCCTTGGACTATGTTCATGAACAAGGCAAAACGTTCCTTGACCTTAAAATCAGGTTTTCAAAACTGCCCAAGTCATAGAAATTTTACAGCTCTTTTGTAAATCTTGCTCAGTAGGCAAAACTGGCAAGATCCGCAACACGTATATGTTTTTTTAAACATGCCTAGGGATAAAAGTCATGGCTCCAGGGATGAAATATTTCACAGTTACACAGAGTATTGGACAAAATTACCGAAGCAAAAACAATTTGGTGCCCGTCCTTGTCTTATATTTGTTAAGTTAATTAACTCTTTATCTCCATATTTTGCTTAACCCATTTCAAAGTTCTCTCCTGTTACCCAGCATTTCACACAGATGAATGGTCCCTAGAAATAGATTTATTTTCTTTTGAGATTTTGCGAGTGAGGATTCCCTTCCTGTTCCTTTATATGACATGAGACAGCGGAGTTATGCAATGCACGATTGAAAGATACAGAGTCAAGTTCAACCCAACATGGTGAGTATTTGAGCATAAATGTCCCTCCTGTTACTGGGGTCTATAACGACTTATCATACAGAAATCCGACACACTCTCCTTTGGTTAGGAAGTCTGCCACGGTTACATTTCAATGGTAAGACAATCCATAACATGAGCTCTACCCAGTCAGTGGTCGTCAGGGTAACGAGGTACAGAATTCCCTCCTGTTACTTTCCCTCCTGTTACCCGGGTTTTGGTAACAGGAGAGAAAGGAATGTGCTCAATATCTTAACTGACCACAGTTTGGGCGAGAATGTGAGGTAGTCCACGCTTAATAGAGTAAATGAAAGAGGTTAAAACTAAAGGCATGTTTGTGTTTTTTCAACAAAACATCTGGACTGTGTTTTTTATCTTTGAGTAACAGGAGAGAATACAAGATAACAAGAAGGAGGGGTACGTGTCAAATAGCTAAACTGATCAAAGTTCGGGTTCAAAGTGGGTCATTTATGCACAAACAAAACAAAGGCTATTATATGAAAGATGTGTCTGTAGTTTTTCAACAAACTCCTGTATTGTGATTCTGTAACTTCGGTAACAGGATGGAATTGAGAGAAAAACAGCGAGGGAACAACAGGGTTAAAGGAAAAAACCTTCCCTGTTTCCTTCATCCATGATTATAACAATGCAACACACTTTTGTTCCACCAAAGTCCACAACCTTCTGTGTGGATAAACGTAAGAGAAAAGTTGTAAGTGGTCGTGATATTTTGGGTTTAAGGATTCGAGCCTCAGCTCGGTCCATCGTCGTGTCCTTGAGAACGACACTTAACACGAATTCCCTAATTGGCTCCAT